AATTTGTGTTGTTTTGTTTTAAATGAATAAACTTTTAAAATTAAAAAAATAATAATTTTCTTTATATATCACAAGGAGAAATCTTGTTCAAAGGGCTACTGTGCATTAGCTCAAGTTGTTTGAGTCCAGGTGAGAAGATYGACACGTAGGAAAACACTAACCTGTACGAGGATATCTGTAAGCATCTGCCTTCCTCTCTTCCAGTGCAGGAGCTGGGACATGAATAATTTCCACTTCTGTCTCATCCACCTCTTCATACAGAAGGTACATTGTTTTATGTTCATCAGGGCCTGAAGAAACGTTTGTTTCAGAACAGTTTTAGCCTGATGGATTCAGACAGTTGTGTTCTTTTAAGACATAAATACTTGAGTTTGTATCTAACTGCTGACCTTCTACTGCTGAGGGATTCCACCAGTAACCAGTAAAACGATCAAACTCCTCTTGGATGACAAAAGTTGCTACGCCTGCAGATTTTGGATCATCTTTAACATTGTCTAAACCTGCAGGAAAAGCAGAGAACACCAGTTTACATTCACATGGCTTTACATAAAACACATACAATCAGTGTGCACTGTTTCTTCCAGGTTACTCATTTACCACAAGCAGGTTTTAGGTCCAATCATTTAGAAAGATAGTTGAGAGCAGAGGGAACAGAAAGAGCAGAAGAGTTTAAAAACTAAACACCAGCATTCTTTGAATGAATGAATGTTGCCAGTTGCCCTGCATGTGTAGTGTTAGATCTTGAGGAATGATGGAGCTTTAGTCATTTTGGTCAAACGTTGATAATTTCACTGTTCAGTGACTACRTTCTGAGTTTCACTGAAATCTCACCAGTGGTTCTCTGACAGATMTATAAGCACATWAACAGGCAAAACCCTCATCGCCCTKCCTTCTGTCAGAGGGCAATAAGGTCAATGACATGGAGACATGAATTTAACGTCATTATTTATTCATCTGAAAACAGGAGCCAACATGAAGAAGCAGTGTGTGAAAATTTATCTAATACTTCCTGCTTCTAAAGCAATTCAGAAGGTTGTAAGTAAAATAATAATTTATGACAGAAAATAAGCTTTCATTGATCAATTAAACATGAAGTTATGTGAAAGAAAGTCCCACCTCACAGYGTTTTCTTTTTATGAAAACATTTTCTGTAATAAATCAAGACACTTTTTGAAAAGAGAAAAGCTTCAGACCTTTGTGACAGTATGTGAGTCTCCTTTCTTCACCCGTTTTAATGTTGGCAATCCACAGGTCATTGTTGTTGATGAAGGCTATGAAGTCAGGATGTCCGGGGCAGATCTTCGGGTCCATGCGGGTGCCTGAGCACTGGCTCTTGATCTCCACAGGCTTTACAGGAGCTGACTGCTGAAAACACGATCACATATTTGTYAAAGGTAAAGTGGATAAAACTGACCCAAGCCAGCTTTATTTAAAAGCCAATGAAAAAAAATCTTGTTCTATTTCAAAGAAATTCTCCAAACWGTAACTTAGAATCATCTGATGGACTTTATCAGTGGTGGGCAGCGCTAATTTAAAAATAGCTCTGCAATTTCTGATGTGCTTCTGAAAATATTTAGTTTCACAACTTCAATAGCGCTTAGTGCATAGAAATATTAGTGGAAGCTAATTCTAAAGCGCAGGTTCAATTGGACACTTAGCTGGCTACAATTCATGCACAATATATGTACAATGCTGCCCACTAGTGGTGTATGAAACCTTGTACAGCTCGTTTTACAACCACCAAATGCTGGGGGTCTGATTTCCTCAAACACAACTTTGACTCCTGGATGTAAAAATTAAAAACTTGTTGAGGCTTGCTCGGCTGATTCTTTAAGAAGTTGTTGAGGATTGCTACTTCAGCTGATTCTTTAAGAAGTTGCTGAGGATTGCTACTTCGGCTGATTCTTTAAGAAGTTGCTGAGGATTGCTACTTCGGCTGATTCTTTAAGAAGTTGCTGAGGATTGCTACTTCGGCTGATTCTTTGTCTTTTTC